CTGAGCCATCTCTCCAGCCCCTCTGCTTTTATTTTGTGATTGGATCTTGCTATATATGTCTGGCTGGCTCTGAACTCACAATGATGCTCCTGTCTCAGCTTGGGAATGTTGGGTGTGTACCACCACTCCCAATTTATAATTTTTTTTTTTGAGACTAGGTCTCTTGTTTGAGGATGGCCTCAAACTCACCATGACTTCTGATCCTCTGCCTTCCCACCCCCAGTGCTGGGATTACAAGCACATGCCCTTCATCCAGTTTACTTGACAGTAGGGATGAACCCAGGGCTTCTTGCATGCTAGATAAGCACTCTACCCACTGGGCCACACCCCCAGCCTGTTCACAAAACTATGCTAAAATATACGCACAATGAATTTGCTATTTTATCCCCCCCCCCTTTTTTTTTTATTTTACGGTATGAGGCCCTGTCATGGACTCAACAAGAGCTCTACATGGAATCCCACCCTTGGCTCCCAGTCCAGCTTGTTCATATGCACGTTAGTGACCTTTAGTCTTTACTCCGTGTGAGACCATCAGTAACCCCACACCTTTGTCAGTTTCCGAGGCTGCAACCCAGTGCCCTGAGATAATTCCTCACGCTGTTCCCCCTGCCCGGTAGCTGTTTCCCCTGCCCGGTAGCCACCATTCTGCTTTCTGTCTCCACAGACCTAACTATTCTAGGGTTCCATTCCAGTGGAATCCGGCAGCAGTTGTCTGTCTTGTTTTATTTTGTGACAGAGTCTCCTGTCTCCCAGGCTGGCCTCAAACTCACCATGCAGTTGAGGGTAGCCTTGAACTTTCTGGTCCTCCTGAGTGGGTGGATTGCAGGGGTGCAGAATGAGCTCAGGCCTTCCTGCTTGCTAGGCAAGGACTCTACCAACTGTGCCACATCCCCAGGGGCTTCCCTTTGGTGCTTGGCTTCCTGCGCGTATCAGAACGTCTTCCCTTTTTAGGCTGGGGAACACTCTGATCTGGATGCATACCTAATGTTGTTTCCCCAGCCCTCCACCCCATGCTTCTGGCTATTGTAAACAGTGCTACCGTGCACGTGGGTGTGCGTGGATGCATATCAGTGCTTATAGCAAAGAGGCTCCTGAAGTTCACTGTGTATCATATGGTTGGTCCAGAGCAGAAAGCCCTCAATGGGTGGAGCCTTCTGTTTCTCAGCTACCTTCAGGAAGCTTGATGTGTGAAGTTGGATGGGAACATGTCTCTCTCTTCCCACCTGATGCTCGGCAACAACAAGAGACCCGTCACCATCCAGCTAGAAGCCTTTCCTTATTTACCTCTAAGCCCTTCTCTGGTAGAGATTTCAAAGTGGCCCTTTCACTGAGCACACGTGTGGAGAAATATCTAGACTTGCACAAAACAGCATTTGTGTCTCAGCACAGAAGGCTCCAAGCCGAGGGCTGTTGGGTTCCTGGTGTTTGTGTCTCTAGGCCTCAGTTTTCTGGCCTGTGGAATGGGACTGTGGAGAGCCTGTCTGAATTAGTGAGACTCATTCAAAGATGTCAGGCCCCTGTGCCTCCCTCCAACTCTACACGGACAGAGGTCACAGAGGGCAGGCACTCCATTGATACAGCAGTTGAAAAGTAATTGGGACACAGTTTAGTGGTACAGTCCCTGCTTAGCTTGTACAAGGCCCAGGGTAGGCTCCAGGACCAACGCACCCCTAAAAGCCCTTGAAATAGATGCCCTACTTAAGACAGCTCCTCAGACACCTCAGGAACATCTCCCTTTTCTACAGACAGAACCACCCTGAGTTTTTTGTCCAAGTGGCTTCAAGATTTGCACACGCCATTATTCCCAGCACTCAGGAGGCAGAGGCAGGCAGATGTCTGAGTTCAAGGCCAGCCTGGTCTATAAAGAGTTCCAGGACAACCAGGGCTACACAGAGGAACCCTATCTCAAAAAATTTCTGCTAGCCTAGAACTTAGTTGCATTCCTCATCTCTTGAAGACGACTCAAGACTTTCTATTCCTTTCAAGAAGGAAAGAAAATGTGTCTATTTCCAATACAGTATGTAGGCTAAGACCTCCCAGGACCTGGTCAGGAGGCCCCTGGATCAGAGGAGAGGGTGTCTTATACACATGTGTGATTGTTTCCCTAATTACTTGAGGCTAGCACTAAGACATGTCACTTAGAATCATGGGAGAGTCAGCCCCGCTGGCAGAGAAGACAGGAAAAACATGTCTAAATTGGTTCAAAGTGATGACTCTGACTTTTTTGCTTTGTTTTGGTTTTTGGCAGGAAACGCTCAGAGAGAGAGTAAGTCCAAGGATTCTGGAGATGCACCCATGCAAAGTGAGCTGTATGCAAACATCTGTGACCCTCAAACTCAGACAGGTTAGGGGCCTTGCTGGCTCTTTTGATGAGTTTGGTTGGTTGGTTTGGGGGTGACTGTATACATACATACATACATATATTATATATATGTGTATACACACACACACACACACACACACACACACACACATACACACACACACGTGGTGCTGGAACTTGAATCCAAGGTGTCACACATGCTGGACAAGTACTCTACACAGTGCTCGTTATTTAAAAAAAAAAAAAAAAAATTAAAGATTCTCCAGAGACTTCAGTTAAAAAAAAAAAAAGGAAGCCAAGTAAGTAACAGTATCCCATCTCCTTCCCACCTCCCTTCCGTCCTCCCATCTTACTCACCAGTAGGCCATTCTATCCTTTGATTTTTTTTTTAAGTTATCATACTTTAGAGATGACTTTATATTAACTTGGGAAGATCAATGCTGTATCCCAAAGTCTTTCATGATCATGTTTTTGTTTGTTTGTTTGTTTGTTTGTTTGTTTTTGTTTGAGACAGGGTTTCTCTGTGTAGCCCTGGCTGTCCTGGAACTCACTCTATAGACCAGACTGGCCTTGAACTCACAGAGATCTACCTACCTCTGCCTTCTGAGTGCTGGGACTAAAGGCGTGGCTTATGATCATCTTTAAAAAAAAAGATTTTGTTGTTCATTTGTTCTGTTTTGAGACAGAGTCTTGCTATGTAGCCCAGCCTGGCTTCAAACTTGTAATCCTCCTGCCTCAGCCTCTTGAGTGATGGGATCACAGACTTGTGATACTATGTCCAATAGTTTGTTCTTTAAAAATATCTATTTTAAGCTGGGCGGTAGTGGTGGTGCACGCCTTTAATCCCAACACTGGGGAGAGAGAGCCAGGTGGGTCTCTGTGAGTTTGAGGCCAGCCTGGGCTACCAAGTGAGTCCCAGGAAAGGCGCAAAGCTACGCAGAGAAACCCTGTCTTGAAAAACCAAAATAATAATATAATAATAATAATAATAATAAATATCTATTTTAATAACAAATAAAACCATATGTATTTATCATGTGCAGCATGGTTATTTGGGAACAGAGTTTTTTGTTTGCTTACTTGTTTTTTTTATTAGCAACTCATCTAGGCTGGCTTTGAATTCACAGTGTTGCCCAGAATGACCTCAAACTCATAACAATCCTCCTGCTTCATCCTCCCATGTCCCGGGATTACAAATGTGACTTAATTTGTGTGTCACCCTTGCCCAGAGGCCATGATAACCTTTTCTGTATCTAGTTTAGTCTGCGCGCTGCAGAAGCGGGAACATCTCAGTTTTGTTTGCTTGCTTCCTTGCTTAGTGCAATGTTTGGGATCAAGCCCAGGGCTCCACACACACCAGCCAGGTGCTGGAGAGAACATGAATCTGCTCCCTTAGCAGTTTTCAAGATTGTAGTATTTAATGATTAGCTAGAGTCGCCATACCATATAATAGCGGCTTCTCATATCAGACATTGCACGTTGGATGCTTCGGGGTGTAAGGGCTTGGCTAAGAGGCTCCGTCCCAGCCAGCTCCACAGAGCCCCGGCCACACTCTGAGCACTGTGCAAGCCAGGCACACCGGCACCAGCTCCCAGTCTTGCCAAGCAGGAGCCTGGATCAGACCTGAAGTGACAGAAATCCGTTTCCACACCCCCAAAGGGAAAGAGCTCTCCCTAGGCCCTAGACTGCCACCCTCACACGGTCAGAGGATCCAAGAACTGGTCCAGTAACACTATGCATTGTTTTTTTGCCCAGAGGCAGGACAACCCCAGGAGCTACACTATATCACTCCAGTCTTCAAGGAGGTAGCACCCAGGGAACAAGGTGAGTCATGATGGGGACCAGAGATGCTGTTGGAATGAGACAGGAGTCCCTGCGACATCACTGTGGGCAGGGGCTTTGTATCTAAGGACGGGGTGGGGGACCCTAGGTTCCCAGCAAGCCCACAGTAACCAACCACAGCTCCCACAAATGTGTCAGGTGGAGAGATGGGGGGGAGGAAAAGACAAGGTGGGGACTGTCCTCTAAATACTTCCAAAACAGGCTGGAGAGACGGCTTGGCATTTATGAGCATGCACTGTGCTTCCAGAGGACCTGAGTCCACTTTCCACACTCATGTCCTGTGGCCCACAACCACCTGCGCTCATACGCACAGACACCCCGCACACACACACACACATTCAAATCAAATCAAAAAACTCCCGAGAAGAGGATTCAGGGTCACTACTAAAACATTTTCAAGAGGAAATCGGGGCCTGGGGAGATGGCTCTGGGGCCCAGAGCACATGCCTGCCTCATTTGCATGAGGACCTGAGTTTGGATCCCAGCTCTCATGCAAAAAGCTGGGCACGGCTGTGACCCCAGTGCTGAGATGAGACTCCTGGGGCTCTCTGGCAGTCGGAGGACAACGTGGGGTCAGCTCTCTCCTTCCACTCTGGGGGACCCTGGGATAGAACTAAGGTCATCAAGCTTGGTGGCGAGTGGTGTTACCCACTGAGCCCATACACCTGAAATGGGGATTCCTTTGAGCCTTTGTCTGAACTCATAGCTGGAGGTTCTGAGTTGTCTTCCCTTCTCCATTTCAGAAGGCTGTGTGGGCAGTCCAGCTGATTACATCTACTCCGAGCTCACCCACTGAAGTGTGAAGAAACTGACTGCCCCCCCGTGTACAAGACTTTCCAGTAAGCTGATATGTATGGAGAAACAGCAGATTCACCTGGTGCTCCAAAGTTTCACCCAAGGCTGGAGCAGGAGGATCCTGAATTCAAGGCCAGCTGGGACTACAAAGCAAGACCCCATCTAACCTGGTCGCCTAAGATGAATTTGTATTTTTCACATCTGAACACTATTCCTTTGGCTAATTTGGGCCTCTAATCTTGTCATCAAAGTAGCCAGGCTTGATAATAGTTATAAAGTATTTGGTTTTGTAGGTATCCATCGTTCTCACTTTCCAACACCATTTAAAAGGAATTATCTTGGGGCTGAAGAGGTGGCTGAAGAGAAGAGAAAAGAAGCAGGTACTGCTCATTCAAGGGACAGGAGTTTGATTCCCAGGGTCCACATCCCACGACTCATAGTCGCCAATAACTTTGTTTCCAGAGGATGCATCACCCTCTTCTGTCATCTGCAGGCACTGCACTCATGTGCACAGACACACACCTAAACACTTAATTAAAAATAAACAGTCCACAGCCATACCACCCTGAACTTGCCCAATCTCATCTAAAAATAATAAAAATCTTAAAAGTTAAATCTTAGGCAAAAGAGCTGTTTGTGAGTAGCTCATGAAGGCATTATAATGATCATCCTTTGTATTCCCTTGTCTCCACGCCTGCCAAAGGTTCAAATGCAAAAACAAAGCATGGCCAGGTGTGGCAGTGCACATCTTTAATTCCAGCACTCAGGAGACAGAGGCAGGTGGATTTCTGTGAGTTCCAGGACAGCCAGGGGCTACATAGCGAGACCAAAAAAAAAAAAAAAAAAAAAAAAAAAAAAAAAAAAAAAAAAAAAAAGAAAGAAAGAAAGAAAGAAAAAACCCCACAACAAACAACTACAAATAAATACCACCACAAAGCCTAATCTATGTCTAAGTGTAAACATAGGCGATCTTGAAAATGGGTCTGAGGGCTGGGGAGGTGGCTTATCAGGAAAGAGTGCTTACTCGGCAAGTATGAGGACCTGTGTCAAATCCCCAACACCCATGTAAAAATCTGGGTGTGGCTACACACACCTGTAACCCCTGCAGTATAGGGGAGCAGACCTCTGTGTGTGTGAGTATGTGTGTGCGAGAGATTATACGACTGCAAAGAGCTGTTAGTCCTGGTACTGAAGAAACTGGGTGTTCCTGTCCCCAAGTCAGGCAGCTGACAACTGCCTGCAATCTCAGCTCCAGGGGACCTGACACTCTCTCTGGACTCTTTAGTCACCTGCACTCACGTGTGCATATACCCTCACACAGATACCCACATATACCTAATTAAAAAGAAAACACATCTTGTTAGTATTGATTTTCTTTCTTTCTTCTTCTTTTTTTGTTTTTCCTCTGTGTAGCTTTAGCTGTCCTGGAACTCACTCTGTAGACCAGGCTAGCCTCAAACCCAGAGATCTGCCTGGCTGTGCCTCCCGTGCTGGGATTAAAGGCGTGCACCACCACTGCTGGCTAGCACTGATTCTCATTGTAACACAAACACACTGAAGTATCTTCCTCACGCACATTCTGTAAGTACAAAGGGCGGATCCCTAGTAAGGGTAGGAAACCAGCTTTGCCTGTCCGGAGGGATCAGGGGACCTAAGAATGCTCAGGTCTCAGCTGCGCATGTCCAGAGGTGCATTCTTCCCTGCCAGCTGTGCCTTTCTCTCCTTCAGTGTCCGCACCACACTTCGATGATGTCCCCGGCTTGGTTCTCCCTACAGCCCCACTCTGGCTAGAGAAGTGAGCGGTCTGCAAACGGAGCTGAGGAGGCCTCTGGCTTGCCCAGCTTGCCCTTAATAGTCTCTCCTTTTCTCCTTGCAAAGCTTCTAATGCTGGTAACAGAGGCCAAGCAAGTCTACAACTGGGCTGATTGCCGCTGTTTCAAGTCTTTCACGTGATGGAACCGCTGAGTAACCAATGCTTCACTTTCCCCCAGGGAGAGCCTTGGTACCTGTGCAGCCCAGGAGCCAACACACGCCAAGTCCTCACTGCCCACTGGTCACTGGATATTGAGTCTTTGACGCTTTCGCTCCACAGGAGCAATTCCACTCCCCAAAGATGCCTTCTAGAGCTTTCTGCCCTGTCTTACCCTGGATGAGATCTGAAAGTAGGGTGTGGGATACTGCCTTCTGTGTTTATTATGTACACTGGAGGTGGCCCCAGAGAGCGAGCATGAGGGAAAGTCAGTACAAAGCTGAACCATAGAGCCGGGCAGTGATGGCACACACCTTTAATCCGAGGACTGGGAGGCAGAGGCAGGCGGATCTCTGTGAGTTCCAGGCCAGCCTGGGCTACAGAACGAGAGCCAGGACAGGCTCCAAAGCTGCACAGAGAGACACTGTCTCAAAGAAGAAGAAGAAGAAGAAGAAGAAGAAGAAGAAGAAGAAGAAGAAGAAGAAGAAGAAGAAGAAGAAGAAGAAGAAGAAGAAGAAGAAAGACTCAGAATGAAGAAAAAGGCCTAGCATACATTTGTGGCAGGAATATGGGAGTGTGCTTGGCTCTGGTGGAATCCTGCCAAGCAGTGAGTATTCCAGTTGCTCCCATACCTGGTGAATACTCCAATCACTTCATTGAAGTGGTGTCTGCCAGGTTTCCCTAGTACGATATTCGGTAGATAGGAACTCTGGATTGAAACCTGAGACTGGGTTCTCTCCTTCCATCCTTATTGGGGTTCTGGGGATTGAACTCAGAGGGCCTCAGGCTTGTGAGGCAAGCTCTTTACCCGCTGAGCCATCTCTCTGCTCCTGAAATTACGTAACTACACTAGTTATCTGTAGCTAGAGTTTTCCTGCCTTGCCCACAGTCAGGACAAATCTTTGTCACCCGCCTGTCCCACAGCCGCTCAGACCCAACCAAGTAAACACAGAGACTTATATTGCTTACAAACTGTATGGCCGTGGCAGGCTTCTTGCTAACTGTCCTTATATCTTAAATTAATCCATTCCCATAAATCTATACCTTGCCATGTGGCTCGTGGCTCATGGCTTACCAGCATCTTTTCATGCTGCTTGTCAGGGTGGCGGCTGGCAGTGTCTCCCTCTGCCTTCCTGTTCTTTTATTTCTCCTCTCTGTTAGTCCTGCCTATACTTCCTGCCTAGCCATGGCCAATCTGGTTTTATTTATTGATCAATCAGAACAACTTGACATACAGACCATCCCACAGCACAACCAAGTGCAGACCATCTCAGACACCTGCACTCAGGCCCGTGGTCCTAACCATCCTCTATGCGGACCTGCTGGGTAAAGCCACGAGGAACCCGAGAATGGGCTCCCACAGGACATACAGAACATCCCACTGCAGTTATCAGTTTGGAATACGGCATTATTTATATCTCTTTTATCATTTCTATCTCTGTGGAATCACGGATCGCTATTTCATCGATAAGTTATAATCCATCACTGATGTGATTTATTATCATGTCCAAGCTGCCCTAGATTGACAAGCAAGGTTTCCTCCAAGCTTGATTCTCTTCTTGTGACGTTACCTGGCACAACAGTATGTCCTAGGTTCATCTTGTACTCGTCACGGAGCCATTTTCCAGGGAGCCCTGTATTTAGAAACCAGGTCTGGGTTCTTTCTAGCTTTGTTCCTTGCTTTTTTCTTAGAGACCCTTTCAAAGCCCAAATCTCGCCCAGCGGTGGTGGCACACACTTTTAATCCCAGCACTCAGGAGACAGAGCCAGGCGGATCTCTGTGAGTTCGAGGCCAGCCTGGTCTACAGAGTGAGATCCAGGAAAAGCACCAAAACTACACAGAGAAACCCTGTCTCGAAAAAAAATCACAAAAGAAAAAAAAGAAAAGAAAAGAAAAAAAGAAAGGAAAAAAAAAAAAAAGCCCAGATCTCAGGGATAGATTCATGTACATTTGTGCTTGTGTCTTGAGGGATGGATGACTCATCCCTAGCAGGCTTGAGGGCCAGCTGGCCCAAACCAATAAAAAAGATACTTTCCGAGAGCCAACCTGGGTCTGCCTAAGGGCCTTAGCAACAGCAGCTGAGACATGATCTGGAGATGACCTGGACCAGTGAGAGGCAGCCATGTCACACCAGCAGATGCAGATTCTCCCCACCCCACCCCCGGGATGGGTTAGAGGGTAGATAAGGCTTGCCTCTTCCTGAATAAACTGAGCTTGTTTCAACTTTCTCCCAGTCTGTGTGGTTTGACTCTGCATCTGCTTGGCCCCCTCCCCCAAAGGGAACAGCACAGGACCCTGCCACAGTGTCTGCTTTTCCCACTCTGATATATAGGTCCCAGCACTGACATGTGGCCCACAGCTGCCTGTGAGCCCAGTTCAAGGGAATCCAGCTTCTTCCTTCTTCTGATAGCTCCTGAAAGTGCTATGCAAAAACTCACTTGAGTTTAGAGATACACACATAAATATCAGAAAATATGGGTGGTAGTGGTGCACGCCTTTAATCCCAGCACTCGGGAGGCAGAGCCAGGCGGATCTCTGTGAGTTCAAGGCCAGCCTGGTCTACAGAGTGAGTTCCAGGACAGCCAAGGCTACACAGAGAAACCCTGTGTAGAAAAATGAAAGAAAAGAAAGAAAGAAAGAAAGAAAGAAAGAAAGAAAGAAAGAAAGAAAGAAAGAAAGAAAGAAAGAAAGAAAGAAGAGAAAGAAGGGCTGGAGATATGGCACAGAGGGTAAAAGCACCGACTGTTCTTCCAGAGGTCCTGAGTTCAATTCCTAGCAATCACATGGCTCACAACCATCTATAATGGGATCTGATGCCCTCTCCTGGCATGTAGGCATACATGCAGACAGAGCACTCACACCTAAAAAAAAATACATAAATAAATAAAATGAATTTTAAAAAAGAAAATTGCTGACATTCTGGCGCGCCCCTTGGTGGCCCACACTGTGTCCTGACTAAATCCTCTTTTAAGGGAAGCCCACCCTTCTTCTTCCTCGCCCCCTTCCTCCCTTCCCTGCCACGAGGCCTACATATCTCTGCTTTCCCTCTCCCCCTTTCTCTTTTTTCCTCTCTCCCTCTTTTCCTCTCCCCGCCCCATTTCTATCTCTCTTTCAACTCTTTCCACGTGGATACTATTCCTGGGTCACGCCCACCGTGTCTGCATGGCATGTCTGCCTCACCGCCATGGGGCACCTTGGTCCAACCTGCCAAGGCCTGAGTATCATATCATTACAAAAATTAAAATACAAAATCAATACATAAAAAAAATTTTTTTTAATCAATGTAGCATTTAGTTACAGAAATCCTGGGCTATCCTGGCTCAG